GGCTGCTGGTCTCTGGTGCTGGAGAGCTGTGGGACGGCCCCGATCCTGACTGGCTCTCCGTGATGGGACCCGCGACCTCCGAGCTGCCACTGGAGGCTGTAAGGGGAAGCAGGAAGGTCACGGGCACGGCCCCCCAGGCCCACGGCAGGAGAGGCCAGAGCGGTGCCCCCAGCCCCCCTGGAGCAGAGGGGCTCTGCCAAGCCCAGAATGGGCACCTGCTGCCAGGCCTCGCCCGGGGGCACCCGGGTGCTTTGCCTCTTACCGGTGCCCAGGCCAGCACAGCTGTCACACTCCCATATGGCCGTGTCGGTCCCCAAGTGGGAGCAGCGTCTGTGGGTGCCCTCGGCAGCGCAGGAGCAGCACAGGAGCAGTTGCCAGGGCCTGGGGAAACAAACGGGTGCGTGGCTGTGAGGACAAAGTGACCACAGCACGGGATTGTCCGGCAGAGCTCTTGTTCTCCGTCCCTCCGCTTCGAGCCCTTGGCGAGACAGAGATCCTGGGCAGAGCCTGGTGTGCCGCTCGGGCAACTTACCCCTGTTGCTCTGTGTGCTGCCTGCCTCCTGGGCAAAGGCACTCACGGGCATTGCAGCGGCTGTGCCTCTCATTTGGTGCTGCATCTGCAGGCTCCTTCTCCCATGCTGGGGATCTGAAACACAAGGGAAAATTGCTGAGCCCCTGCTGCCCCGGCATAAGGCAGATGCAGGGCGTCCCTGCTCTTCCCCCCCTGCCTGCTTTCTGACTCCTGCGTGAAGCTGAAGCCCAGGCTGAGGGGAGAGCGCGGAGGGCCGGGAGCGCAGGGGCAGTCCCTGGCACGGCACAACGCTGGCACCCTCCTGTCTGGTGGGGCGGGCAGGACACCAACCTGAATGGGATTCGGATGCCCATGGTGAGCATCTCCGTGATAAATGCACGCCTATCTCTACAGACAGGGCACTGGAAGCAAATGCCGGCGCACACAGCCTGTCCCTGCAGGGGAAACATGAGGAGCAGGCGTGAGGCCTTGGTGCTGCTGGGCGCCCGCCGTGCCCACCCCGTGGGCGAGGGAAGGGCTCCTACCTGGATGCAGGCCCTGTGGAACCAGGCGTATTTGCACGCTGGGCACACCATGGTGCCGTAGGACTTCCTGTCCTCAACAGGGTCCAGGCAGATGAGGCAGGCGGTGTTCTCCCCCGGAGCCGCCTCCACTGCCTGCTCTGGGCGGTGCTGCCAGCAGAAGGACCTGGGGAGGCACGAGGAAAAGGAAGGGTGAGGAGGTGGGAATGGCTGGGTCCTTCCCCGGTGGCGGCAAGAAGGGGAGAGGAGGTACCTGTACTGAGTACGGAACTGCGTGACGCATTCCCCCTCCACGGCGCAGGGGAGGTGGAAGCTGCGGTCGCAGCCCTCCTGGCAGCAGGTGATGGCGGCCCCGCTCTCGCCACAGACGAAGCAGCGCTGGAAAGAGCAGAGCAGCCCCCATCAGCGGCAGCCTCAGGGCCTCCACAGCCAGCCCCACGCCTCCGGGCAGGGCGCAGGATGCGGCCCCACTGCTGGGTCAGAGCCCGCGGATGCGACCGGCGTACGAGGCTCCTGTGCTGGGTCTGGGTGGAGGCTCTGTGGAGCTGCTGGGTGCGAGACTTTTGTCCCAGAGCTGCTTGGAAGGGCTGGGATTTCTTTCTTAGGGTCTGGGCTAAGCTCCCACACCGCTCCCGTGGCACCACAGATCTCCCTGAGCTTGTCCGGTTCTCACCTTCTGCGCTGCATGCTCGACTGTACAGCGAATATCTTCCAAGGGGAATCCCATCAGGCCCACGTTGTTGACCTGTTGCCGGACGAGGCCGTTGGCAAAAAACTGCGCAGGAGAGAGGAGATGAGGAGGTGATGGATGAGAAGGAGAGCGTGGCCGGGGCTGCCTGTCGGCAAGCTGGAGGGAGTCCCGGGGGCACTCACCAGGCAAAAGACGTGGGCGCAGATCCCTTGCTTCTGCAGTTTCTCCCCGTAGATGTCCGGGTCAGCCTCTGCCCGGCCACACAGCATGCATGCTGGAGGGGAGAGAGCAAACGACAGCGGGAATGAGCAGCTCACCTCTGCAGGGCCGGGGACAAGCGTCCCTGAGGGCTGGCCTTGCAGGCACGGGTGTCCCAGCAGCAGGTGCCCACGGCCCAGCCTGGGCCCCGCTGGCTGCAGCACCGAGGGGCCCTGTCCCGGGGCGCTTGGGGAGCTCCTGCCTGCCCCTGCCACCGCTCTCGGCCCCACGCTGAGCGCCCCGACAGCCCCTCTGCTATGCTGCAGGAGGGATGCTTTGCTCTCACCTGGCTCCATCAAGTCGGCGGCCTCCTGCTTCCTCGCAGTCATCTCACCCATCAACAGTGAGTGCTGGGAGAGTCGCTGTCCCCGCAGTGCTGGGGTGTCTCTCCCAAGTGCTCCTCGGCTGACTTTGGGGGAGAAGCAGGGCGCGGGTCAGCTTGCAGCAGAGGCCCAGCGTCCCCAGGCACGGGACCGCCCTCCTCCCTCGGCAGCCCCGCACGAGCCCCGTCCACCCCTGCCCTCCCCTCACCTCACCAGGTCGCACTGAGGCACAGCCTGAGCCCAGCGATGCTTTATGTAGGCTTGTCCCCCGCGGGTCACAGTGGCCACAGTGACATCAGCACCGTTGGCCTGGATGCACCCCAATGACGGGCAGGGACGCCCTCAGGAACGTGCCAGCCCCTCGGAGCCGGCCGCCGCCTCACAGGGGTGGGTGCGAAGTGCCGAGGCGGGGGCCCGAGCCCTCGGCACCCCCGGGAGCGGGGCGGCTGCTCCTGCAGCCAGCGCAGAGCCGAAAGGCAGGTCCCGCGGGGCAGCCGTCGAGGGTGGCACTGTTGGCCCAACGGTGCTGGTCAGGCCGTGCGAGCCCAGGGCTCCAGCCCTGGCCCAGGCTGCGGCTCTGCTCCTGCCCTCGGCATGGGGAGCGCTGCCGGCAGGTCGGGGAAGGGGATCCTTCCCCTCTGCACCTGCAGGGCTGCCGCCGGCCCTGGGCTCCCGGCTCCAGGGGACAGAAGCCACCTTGGAGCCCGGCCTGGGCTCGCACAACCCTTCCGCTCCGACGCGGCGCGTGGCCGGGGCACAGCACGGGGCCTCAGGACGGCACCTCAGTGTCGCAGGTGGCCCAACGTCGTCATCTCCCGAAGTCGTCCTTAGCGCTTTGGTGACGTGCTGCCTCCAGAAGGAAAAGCAGCGGCAGCGCGAGCTGGGGACTCACGGCGCAAATGGCCTGCCTTCCTCCGTGGCAATAAACTGCCTTTCAGAGACAGTGTGAGCCCGTCCTTGGTGGGCAGGGAAAGTGCAAATGGCTGCGGGGCAGCTTCGGCGGCGGTTTGGTCCGTTTGAGGGTCGGGAGGCTCTACAGAGGCATCTGCCCAGGCCGGGTCGATGGGGCGAGTTTTGCCAAGCACCGCAACGGGCTGCCCAGGGAAGGGCTTGAGTCACCATCCCTGGAGGAATTTAAGAGACGTGTAGCCGTGGCACCTGGGGACATGGCTTAGCGGTGCCCTTGGCAGCGTCGTCCATGTCAACGGCTGGGCTCCGTGATCATAAGGGTCTTTTCCAACCTAAGGGATTCTGTGATTCTCGTGACCCTTCTGTGATTGCTTCATGACCGTTTGATTACCATTTGCTTTTCATTCATTCGTCGATTCACAGCCCTTTCTCCTCCCTGCACTAGAGAGAGAGGGGCTTGCTGGTCTCCAGCAGGAGGGAAATCCTTCCTGTTGGATGACGGACGCAGCCCAGGCCCAGTATTACATTCCCGTAGAGCACGTGTGACTTTTTTGCTCTCAAGGGCGCGTGACGGGGCTCAAGGCCTGAGTAACAAGCGCTGCTCTGTCTCCCCTGAGCCTTGCGGTGTCAGCTCCTTACCTGGTGTTGGCAACCTCTACGCAAAAGGCTTTCTTGTCTTCTGCTGCAAGAAGGAAGCCTTCGGTTGTGTCGTGGTTTGAGCTCAGAGGGCACAACTGAGCAGCTGCTCTCACTCCCCCTCTGCCTCCCCCACCCCCCCAAGGCACTGAGAAGGAGGAAATAAGCCAGGCTTGGGATTCGAGATAGGACAGGCAGGGGTAAATCACCCATTATAATCACAGGCCAAAGGCAAGACTCATTAAGGGAAGAAAAATAGAACATAGATTTATTACAGACACTAGCAACAACCACACTAAACCGAGTAGGAGAGTGAGAAGCATCACCATATGTAGAAAAACACCTTCGCCCCACCCACCCACCCCTCCCTTCTTCCCGGGCTCAGCTCCGCTCCGGATATCTGTACGTCCTCCCCGCAGCGGCACAGGGGCAGGGAATGGGGGGTTCAGTCAGGGCTGCCACTTCTGTCTTCGGGGGTGGGGGTTGAACTTCTGGAACTTCTCCCCCCTGCTCCAGCGTGGTCCCCCTCTCACAGGAGACAGTCCTCCACAAAGTTTCTCTGACGTGAGTCCCTCCCACGGGCTGCAGGTCACGCAAATCCTCTTCCTCACTATTACAGAGACAGGGAGAGGTGAAAAAAGCCAAAAAGGACCCAGAGATATCTCTGATCTTGTCGCACCTCATCTGTCATGATAGTAGCCATTGACCTGCCAATCTCATGGTACTGCTGGCCTTTTCCTTCTGGTCCAAGCAAAATAAATAGGAACCTGGGCAAGGAAAACAAAATGAGAGAGAAAAACATGCCCTTGCTCAAAGGGCACCCAAGGAAATCCCCGGGAGCTCCCAGCCCAGAACACAGCTCTAGCGGGGACACATAGGCTTACTGAACTCTGTGGTGAATTTGAAACTCATCAAAACCAACCACGAATTGAATTTTTGGGCCAACTTTCATTAAAATTGGCCAACGGGTTTAAAAGATAGAGCAGGGAAGGGAGAAACGATGGCAAGGGTATGTGAGTGGGAGAAACGTGCTTGCTCTCGCTGGCTGCATTCCCTTGGGACGCCAAACCGATGCATGCAATTTGGTGTTGTTTAGTTGGATTTTCTTTTAAATGAAAAGTTTGTGCTTCTTATCTGGAGCTTATCGGGATGGGAACTTCCATCATGCTCGAAAGGAGGGCAGCTGGGGTCAGGCGGACAAATGCCACGAAGGGCTGCTGAAGGAAATCCAGCTCTCCTACGAGCACGTCAGATGCTTCAGCCCTGGTGGGAATTTTCTTCATGAAGTGCAGCTCCGCCTGGGCACGACAAGTGATTTTCAGGCAATTACTCCAAAAGCAAAGCCCACAGCACTCTGCAGCATGCTCTCCAGCCAAGTTTGCAAGAGCAAATCTGGCCCTAAAGGCATAAGAAAGCTATGAGTGTCTCACCTTGCTTAAATCCATTGAGCTGGTCTCACGGTTCACCCCGTTTTTATCTCCTGCAGTGGTGGCAGGATGAGGGGTGAGTGTTTGGGCTGGTGGGAAAAAGAAAGACACACAGAAAAATGGAAAAAGAGCAATTGGGATGCCTCTCTTTTGCCAGGAATAGCCTAATGAGGACAAAGCCCAATAAAAACCCCTCACCTGGGCCCAAAGCCCAACAAAAACCCCTCACCTGTGGCCAAAGCCCAGGAAAAACCCCTCACCTGTGGCCAAAGCCCAGGAAAAACCCCTCACCTGTGGCCAAATCCCAGGAAAAACCCTCACCTGGGCCCAAAGACCTGCAAAACCCCTCACCTGGCTTGTCAAGGGGGTGCAGGTCTGGTTGCTTCTCACTCCCATCACCAAACAAGTGGAGAATGGGGAAAATGTTGCTTCTTTCCTTCTCATTCTGATGGTGATGCTTCTTCAAGAGGACTTCTCGAATTTTCACCCGTGTGCACTCATCAAACTCCTTGGACTGTTCTTGCTGGCCCAGGATCATATCTGGGGACGGCAAAGGGAAATTAAGCCATTGGAGCAGAAACCCCATCAAGTCCCGACCCCCAGAGCCCCTGGGGAAGGCTGTGGCCACACAGGCCACCCTAATGCAGGCTCAGCCTTGCTTAGCAAGACGTTTTATCACAATTCAGCCTTTGGAGGGAAAGCAAGAATTTTCTTTTGCTAATAAACACCATCTAAGTGCTCATTTATTACTCTCACGTAATTATTTCCCATTCTAAATAATGTAATTTTCTTGCCCAATGTGGCCTTTCGGTCTGACTCTACACATTTAACCAAACTGGAAGCAATCTACAGCGCAGAGTTTCCCAGAGTTTCCCTGGCTGATCAACTGCCATTTGCCAGCGCCCACAATACCTGCAATCTCTTCGATGTTGTTGGCAGAAACGTCCAGCAGCACTGTGCCATTGAGGATGCAGCTCCTCAGCTCAAAGAGGCTGTGCAGGGACAGCGTGGCCACGTAGGGCTTGCTCCAGCGCTCGCCACCGTCTTCCATGTCCTCCTCAAACTTCAGCCACCTGCGGGCATCGGGCACCATCAGCCCCATTGCGAGAAAACAGCCCCAGCTCCGCAGCCCCTTGGGTAGAGCTGTGGGGTGGCAAGAGGAGAAGGCTCCACGCAGCAGCACCTGCAGCTGCAAAAGCCTCGCCTGCCGGGGAGCAGACAGCAGAGCCCGCGGGTGCTGTTGGCACAGGGTCTCCTCTCCTACCGCAGTCAGCAGCAGAGATTTACCTTGCCCTTTCCTTCCACTCAGCATCTTCACCCTCTTTCACGCAGATCTCATCCAGCTCAGTGAACAAATCATGGGGGATGTGCTGCTCATCTTCCTCGGTCCCGAGGATGAACTGCACCCGCTGGGATGGGGTGTCTGGGGGCAGAAGAAAAAAGCCCCATCCTGTTACCGTGCTTGAATATGGCCCGTCACGCTCACATGCAAAGTGGACATGGGTTCAGCCATAAATATCTGGCTGTCCCCTCTCCCCCGGCTCTGTCCAGGCTTGCGCAGAGCCACCAAGTAGAAAAAGCATCAGTTCCACCTCTGCAAAAGGATGGGCAGCTTTTCTTCCCCACATTTCCATTTTTAAAGCCAGGATCCCTCGAAGGAAGGTGACCCTAAATCCATTATGCATTTAACTACCTTAAAGAAAACAAACAAACAAACAAACAAACAAACAAACAAAAAAAAAAACCTGGGAAAAGTTTGGAAAAAGGAGGTCTTGCTAAATAATGTCACTTTTCCTCGGAAGAGCGGCAAGTCACTCCAGCTAGTCACGTGGACCTGTGTGCAGAAGACCCCATTGCCTACATAGCCCTGAGGAGTTTAGTGAAAACTGTGGTGGGACTTACAGTGGTAGCCCTGCTCCACTGGGGCAGAGTCCTTCTCCTGGTCACCTTCCTGATGCTTCTGGCTGCGGGGTCGGTGGTGCCGGTGGCTCTGCCTCACTGGTGGCATCCACATGCCCACAGACATGTTCCGGTGGCCTGTGGAAAAGCAGCATTTGCAGCATTCTTGGTATCGTGGGTATGGTTCATGCAGAGGCCACGGCTAAATCAGTGCAGCCGTCCCAGAAGGAAACACCCATTTCTCTTAATTTTGTTTTCACTGGATCATCACAGACCTCTCCTTTTTTTCCAAGCCTGTTTTACTCGAGCTTTGCAACAACAGAGAAATAACAAGTGATGGCTCCTGGTCATCGGAAAGTGCCCTGAATTATCGAACCTCTTCCCAAATTCCAGATTTGGCTCGACAACACTCAGACTTGCTCATTGAGCAGTGACAGAAGGTATTTATTTATAAATTCTTTGTATGGCAGAAGGTGAGAAGATCAAATCAGTCCCATGATAAATCACAGCCCCATGCCTGCAGCTGTCAAATCAGTCTCCTGACCTCTCCAAGCCCAGGAGCAGCTGCTGTGGGAAAACAAACCACGGATTATCCAGCCCTGTGGCTAAAACTCACACCGTGGCCTCTGCAGGGGCTTTTCTCCTCCATTTGAGAAACTGTAATAGTAAACAATGTGCAAATAACTGTGCTGCTTCATTAAGAAGCACAGCACGTTTTCCTGCATGTGAGGGGACACTGAGCAAGGGACGTTGCAGGGTCTTTGTGCAGTGGGAAGAGGCGCTGGGCTGGTGGCCCCTCTCTGAGCATCTCAGCAGAGACTCACCTTCCAACTCCTCCATCTCATAGTGAATCCTGACAACACTGCTCACTCCTCCCCGGTCAATTACCGCCTCTTCGTCATGTCTCTGTTCAGCAACGAGAAGAAGGGAAAAGTTGGAGATGGGTGTGTAGAGCTCCCTTATGTCCCCCCAGCCATCACCCACCCCTGCCTCCACATCAGTCCACGAGGCCTCTGGGTGCCTCCTCCTCCAGGCACGGCCCTAAAAACACAGACTTGGAGGAGCTTTTTCTTCCCATACCCAAATAAAACAGCACGTGGCATCACCTAGATTGTATACAATGTGAGTTGGGAAGTTACTTACTACAGGGGGAGAGGCCTGAGGGTTTCACACTAGAAAAACAAACCTCCTGCCTCGTTCTTGCAGTTCCTTTTTTTAAAAAAAACAAACAAACAAACAAAAAACCAAAGGGATTTCCAAAGTGGGCGAAACCCCCCCAAACTCTGCACTTTTTCTCACAGCCTTTATCGAAAGGCAATAGCTGCAGGAATCACCAGATGGCACTTGGCCCCAGGACATGGCCACCAACAACCTCCACAGGCCCTGAGGAACCTGCAAGGGTGAAGCTTCATCTTCAGCCCAACGAGGCTCAGGCTTCCCTTGCTGCGAGTGCACTTTCCACCAAAACCACGGGTTTTATCCTTGCAAAAGCCAAAGACTGAGAGCCAATGCTCTCCTTGCCTGAAATACCACTGCTCTCACTGCCTGAAGAGCAGCTGTGTCTTAAAAGCCAAAGGAGAACTACAGGAGCAAACAGAAATAACTCTTTTTGCTGCTCTTTACCCCTTGACACCTGGGCTGGGGAAGGGGATGAGCAGGATTACTGTGTTCAAAGCAATAAAACCCCAGCCACGTCTCACACTTGAGTCACAGCTGCGGCTTTGAAAGGGCCTCCTGGAGAACTTGGTGCATTTTTTCCCCTCTTTAGGCTACCCTTCTAATCACTATGCGTGTCTTAAATAGAAAGAAAATACATCGCTGCCGCTTGGCTTCTCCTTCCTTGCCTCCATGGACAGTAACTAATCTGAGAAAACCAAAATCTGTTCACCCATACAAAGAAAAACTCTGCAATGCTCAAACACCCTTTAGTTTTCATCACTGTTCAAATTATTTCTCTACTAAAGGCACAAAGTGGAAAGCTTGGGACTACTGAATTGCTGAGGTTCATCTCTGAAGCCTGTTGCTGTCATTACAGCAACCAAACACTATTCAAACAAAGAAAACATTTTCTTGATTTCTGAAACTGAAGGTTGAAGAAGAGCAAAATACCAAGAGACCTGGGGGAACCTGCATGGCTGCTGGTGAAATTCAAGGAGCAAGAGCTACACTGTGCACCAAGCAACCAAAGCTGTAATTTTCAAGTAAAACCTCAAACGCTGCGCAGGCACGTGCTGCCTGTTGTACTAACAATGATGCATTAACTCTGAAGAGTTAAGAGAATAAACAGTAGTTTATGATTTAAGTTGCAAATGCTAACACAAAATCAGCACGCTTCTTATCCCCCAAACTCCTGCTTCGACTGAATACCGTAGGCGCACAGTAGGTGATTTATTGTGGGACGAGACCATCACTGGAGGCAATAAAGGCAGTGAAGCACGACAGAAAGGGCTGGTCTGGCGAACGCCCGTAAAAGCCCTGAGGGAGATGCCAGCAGAACAGAAAGTAGCTGCTGCTGCCATGGCGGCTGTCGGCGCTGTACCATCCCCGCCGGTCCCTGCCGAAACCAACCGCCCGTCCCGATCAGCCACCTTCTTCGGGGTTAATCAGCAGCTCCGCTCTATTAAGGGCACGGCACCAAGTGTTCCTGTTTGCTCCTCCGCGCAAGAAGCGGCAGAGAAATCAGGCGGCGCGGGGGGACAGGGGGGAGCGGCTGCCGCCCGAACCTCTGCCCCCCCCCCCCCCCCCTTCGGATGGTTCCGCCCCTGACGGCGCGTCAGCGTCTGAGTCGGAGAGAAAAACGGCGGCTGTGTCCGAATTAAAGCACCAGGGTCACACACCGGTAAGGGACAGGGACAGAGTCCGGGAGCTTGACAGAAAATTACAGAAGTTGAGCTCCAGAACAGAACTCTGCATTTACAATGACAAGAAGAGGAAGCGCTGCCGGCAGCCCCCCCACACCCACTCCCGTCACCCTCACCAGAACCAGCTCCGCTTTTAGCTCAGCCCCGATGGAGTGGGGGGATTCGGGGTGCCTTGTTAGAAGGGGACTGGCATGCTGCTGGGGCGTTGGCCTGCCCGCTAGTGACAACGGATGGGGGACACCCGGGAACACAACCCCACAAGATTCTCCTCGGGGGGTCTGGAGACTCCTTACGAACTTTAGAACTCTGAACTGCCATCTGGGTGTTTCAACATCAACACTGGTATCAAGAACTTGTTCATGTAGTATCAGATTCATTGTATGTTGTGGGTTCAGTGCAATGTTTAGAACATAGCATGGTGAAACCTGTATTACATTCTGTATTGCATACTCTGTTGTTACAATTGCTGACACTTTTAAAACTGTAAGGGTGGTTTTCTTGCTACATAAGACTACATAAGATTGGAACATGGACTGACAGACTGGTTACGAGACTCTGGAATTTGGAAAATGGACTGATGATGGTTGAAAATCTACAAAACTTGGAAATTACTGGCTGGCTGAAAGCTTTGTTGATGCATAGACTGGCAATGCTGATTATCATTATGATTGTCATGATGGTATTGGGGTCTGTGTGGAAATGCTTTATGAATGCTATGATTCAAACGTTAAAAGGGGTCTGGATTGTCCAAAAAGAAAAAGGGAGAAAACCTGGTAGGAATTTTTTTTGCGGGGGAATCAGGGTCATGCACTGATCCTACAGGGTTTGGACAATCCAGGCTGGGTCTCTGAGCAGAAAACTGCCCCGTGGTAATCCTGCCCTTGAGGTCACCTGGAAGGGCAAGAATGAGGAAGTCAATCTAGTGCTTCCTCCCTGTTTGAATGCCTGGATGCACTAACCACAAAGTAGATTTAGTTTGTTCACGCGTGCTAACGATGCAGACCTATCACAGCACTTCTGGGTGCGTGATAAGTGCCTTTAGCCAATAGATTGTAAGCCTGCATGCTTAAGTTGTGCCTTGTCATGTATTAAGAAAATCTTTGAACGAACGTTGGGGCAGGCTCTGCTCGTACAAAAAGAAAAAGGGGGAATTGTTGAATGGCTCAGAGACAAGGGTCCTGAGCCCACCGAGCAGTTGTACGATCAGAGCCTGTTCTAGGGGCTGATGCTGCCTCGCTGATGCTGGGCCTCACTAGGGTTTGCCTGCAGCTGCTCGCAGCTGCTGATACATGAGGAATGTCAAGGACGCTTCAGCCCTGTGTACCGTGGTGTGTCGAAAACAGGTTGAGAGGAATTGGGAATAGTGGTCTGAGAAACCTAGTGTTATGGCAACGATGGTCTGAGAAACATTGTGTTACGGTACTGTTGTGTATCGAAAACAAGTCAAGAGGAATTAGAAATAGTAACATGAGAAACTTAGTGTTATGAGCAGCTTGTGCTGTTAGCTGACTGCAAGTAGGTGGACCGTGCGAATACGACCTTTAGAGCTTAAGCCAATCAGCTAGTGAATAGTAGGCATAACAATTAGTGTTGTCTGTATAAATATATGTACCCTGACCAATAAACACACACACGTAGATTGATGCTCTATCACCCACACTGAACCCGTCTCGGCGTGTCGTTCGTCTGCGGCTCCGCACTTTACCTGCTTCTGTCCTTCTCTGTTACGAAGGGCTTTCATCTGCAGTGAGGGCAACACAAGGAACGGCTCCCTTGCAGGCTGTGGTATCTGCTATCACTGAAACCTCTCACAAGTGTCCTTTATAAAACTGGAAAGAAAGCCAAGGCAGTTCATAATATATAGAGAATAGCAAAGCCCTTACCTAAATGAATGAATGAGTGAATGTCTTGTTACGGTAAATACAAACTACTTGAATACTGGATGCTTGCCCTGAACGCAACTCCAATAGAAACATTTGATTTTACTGCTAACAGTACTTATCTCAAAAAATCAAAAGGCAGCTAGCATTGTTGGAAACTGGAACCTTACAGATGTCTAAATATACTGCCTTATGGTAACTGCAGAACCAAGATTATTATTTTTTTTCCTTTTTCTGACTGCTTTTCAAGTTGTGAGTGGGCGTATCTTAATTAATCCAATAATGATTTTTGAGATAGTGATTGATGCAGTTTAAACCTGGCCGGCAGCCAAGCACCACACAGCTGCTCACTCACCCTCCCCTCCCTCGGGGGTGAGGGAGAGAAATGGCAGGGTAAAGATAAAGAGACTTGTAGGTTGAGATAAAAACAGTGTAATTTTTTTTTTTTTTTTCAGTAAAATACAAAGGGGTAATGCACAATGTGATTGCTCACCACCTGCCCACTGATGCCCAGCCCATTCCTGGCCAGTGATCCCTGAGAAGTGAAGATCCCAAAACTGCAACCCCAGAAGCGAGAGCCCTCCCTTCCCGACCACCCCTCCTCTATACACCGAGCACGACATTACATGATGGGGATTATTTCACTGGCTAATTTGTGTCCAGTGCTCTTGCTCTGCTCCCTCCCAGCTTCTTGTGCACCCACGCACAGGCAGGACATGGGGAGTTGGAGAGTCTTTGAGCTCTCAGCAACAACTGAAAAACATCAGTGTATTAGCAAGATTCTTCTCCTACCACACCCATTACTGAATCCAAAGCACAGCACTACTCCAGCTGCTAAGAAGGAAAATAAACTCTATCCCAGCCAAAACCAGGACAGTATCCACCCCTGATTCCATCCCATTTATGTTATGCTCAGGTTCCATGTTTCCCAGTACGTTCTGAGGAATCACCATCCCATTTCCTGTTTTTTTAGGTATACACACAGATATCATTCCCTTAGGCTCTAGGCCATCCCTCCAACATGTATAGTGAGTTCATATAGTCCGTAAGTTTGGGGTCCACTGTCATGACAGTCTTTTAAGTCAGGCGGGGTGATGTGGCGTTGGTTCGGTGGGTGGAGCGGGTGGTCTTGGGCACAGCAGGAGGAGGGCACGTAGCCTCTGCTACATCTGGAGCTCATAGCGGCTGTATCTGGTGTGGTCCATGCTTACAGATTGCGGGCTGAAGATGTTGATCTCAAGGAAGTTGCTGGGCACCAATTCAGTCCTGAATCTATCAAAGTTCATTTCTCATTAACCTGGGTGATTCTTAATCTGATGTCGTTAGTATAATATGTACCAACCGTAGTGATGACCATCTTCAACAACAGGGTTATTTAGCAATTAACATCATACAGTTCAATTCATCAGCTATTTTTACCCAAAACCAAATCCCCTTGAGGCACACATTTGAATTCCCCGTCCTTCTGCATTACCCACGAACTGCACCCTGGTCCTTGGGCAAAAATAATCCCACGCATGAGTTTACCTTTACCAGAGGCAGGAATAACCCAGACTGCCTCCCCCCGCATAATTTTAATGTGCCCTATGGGGACTTTATCTCCATCTACAGTACGTAGAAGGTTTGACTGGGCAGGGCCATCCTGGTTGGCAGATTCTCTAGTATCTAAAATCCTGTTCACCTAAGGCCTCTGATTTTGGTGCACTAAAATGCCAAATGTTTAGTCTAATGACTTTTACTTGTACACGGAATCACTAGGCGTTCCTCCACAGTAACTGAATTACTGAATTCTAGTTATCTTGAAAGAAACGCTATGGGTTCAGCTTGTGTTCTCGTTCCACTGCTAAAAAAAAAATTGAAACTAAGCAAAACAATTCAACAAAAAGCTGTGTAAACCACATCCTGTCGATGTTCCCCACCCTGCAGCCCTTTACTCAGCAGCCTTTTCACTTGTGTGATGAAAGGCACACGCAGACCCACAGAACACATGGTGGGAGAGCACACTCACCAAAAAATACTTACATATCCCACCGGAGTATCTTGAATACCGACTTTCTGAAAAAGGAGAACATTTTGTATCCTTTGCCTAATCACCACCGGTAGAATGTTTTAGGTGACATGAACATGTTTGAATGGCTCAAACACATTCAGTGCCACTGCAGGCAGGACACCTCACCATCTACTGAGGGCCTCTGCGGCCCTGGGAGGGCAAGAAGCCGGAAAGGCTGGCGGCACTGAAGGCTCATTTCACTGTCATTAGACCCTGAAAGCAGTCAGCTTTCCCAGGGAAATAAAATGACTTCTCTTGCATTTAATATTTGAAATGTGATTTAAATGTTCATAATTAATGTCAGAATACTTTTAATTTCTATCAGTGAAAGCATATGCTGCAGTCTATTCCATTTCCAGTGGGAAGGAAACTGTGGGCGCTGTAGTCTTTTGTTATTAAAGCATTACAGTAGCAGTGTGAGTCAGCAGAAATGTGAATTTGTCACAATTTCCTTGTCGGATAATATTTACAGTGTTTCAGAGTGTATGTATGTGATCAGCATTTTGTACCCACTTGGAAATTGTATCTGGACATCTCCTTTCACGGTTTGAGTTCACACAGGCCTGGTTCCTTCAGTGCTGGTGAGGTATGAAGCCTAATCCAGCTGCAGCACACTGCTAGTGTCACGGGTCTGTCCCATTTACTGTTCACAGTCACACCAGCAACTTCTGCAATGTTTGTTCTTTATGATAGCTATGCCATTGCAATTCAGAGTATAAGAAAGCCTTTGGGCAAGCCAAGAGTGCCAAGATCTTTAGTTTATGATGGTCATCATTGTTTCTCAAAAAACATTGAGACATATCAAAGCAATATCCTAGAAAAGTAGTACACGGGAGGAAGGAAGGTGAAGGAAGACACATGGTTAAAGAAAGTCACAAAGAGCTGGGGCAAACGTCCACACTACATCATGCATTGGCTTTCCCCTGCTCCCTCCCTTTTCTGAAATCCAATGGAGCTGAAAACAGTACACACATCCACCAGAAGAACAGAAAAGTTGACACAAGAAAAACAGAATAAAGTAAAAAAAGCGCTGCACAGATAAGGCCACCAGAAAATAATTATCTAAAAGTCCCACAGCTTTTAGAAACACTTAGCAATTTTAATATATCATAAAAGAAACTGGCAAAAAAACAATTCAAAGAGCATAAAAGAAAAAAGAACTGCTCATCTAGCACTATCACAAAAAATGAAACAAAAATGTTCCCGCTAACAGCCCAATTTGCCGCTTCCCGCCCCCCCGCCCCCAGGAGACACCCCCCCCCCGCCCAAGGGGCTCGCTCCCCTCACCGCCACCCGCCGCCCCGCCCCGCCCCGCCCCGCCCCGCTCTCTCCCGCGCACCGCGCCTGCGCCGGAGGGGCCAGAGCCGGCGCGCGACCGCCGGGCTGCAGGGCCGCGATCGGCGCGCAGAGCGCCCGGCGGCACCGCGCACGGGGGGGGGGCGGCGGCGGCGGCGGCGGCGGCGGCGGCGGCTCCTGACCGGGAGGAAGCGACGGGCGAGGCGGCGCCGCTCCGCAAGCACCGCCGCGTCACGGTGCCGGTAACCGCGGAGGCAGCAGCGATCGCTGCAGAGGGCGCCCCCACCGCGCCTGCGCGGCCCCGGGGCTGCAGGACCGCATTTTCGGGGAGCAGCCGGGAGCCCGCAGGAAAACACACAAAACCGGCACCAAAACTGCACCTCGAGCCGCGCTGCGGGGTCCGCGGCGGTAGAGAGGGCTGCGCCGGGCCACGCACCACAGAGAGCAGCGCAGCTGTGCGGCGGCCGGGCGCGCGAAAACTACAGCTCCCGGCATGCCCTGGGGCAAGCACAGCATGGCGCCCGCCGTCCAGTGCCGGCAGACTACAGCTCCCGGCATGCCCTGGGGCAAGCACAGCATGGTGCCCGCCGTCCAGTGCCGGCAGACTACAGCTCCCGGCATGCCCTGGGGCAAGCACAGCATGGCGCCCGCCGTCCAGGGCCGGCAGACTACAGCTCCCGGCATGCCCCGGGAGGCAGCTCGCCCTGCGCTCTCCCCCTGCCGGGACACGGGGCAGAACTCTCCCAGAGCTCCGAGGGTGCCACCGGGGGTGCCACGGCCAGGCGATCCGTAAGGCTTCAGGTAGTTGTTGCATAATTTTTGAAATGAAATGTGTTCCTCTGTCCAAGTCTGTTCTTTCTATTAATCCATATCTGGGATAATGTTTTCCAATAACACCTTGGATACCATGGTTGCCGTTGCCCTTGGTGTGGGGGATTGCTTCCACCCAGTGAGTTAAGTGAGCCACTAATACCAACAAATACTTCCACCCTTGTATTCGAGGTAGCTCTGTTAAGTCTACCTGGAGGCTTTGTATGGCTAGCTCCTGTTCCCCAGCCACCTTTTTCTCATTACCTTTTTGTTCACTTTTTGACAAATCAGACATCGATCAACTAGTTGTTTAGCCTCCGTATATATTCCTATACACCCATATTGTCTAAGAAAATGATCACAAAGTGATTGCGTTCCCCAATGTATTTTCTGATGTATTAATGACAGAATTTCTCATGATAATGTTTTATTTAACATCTACCTTCCATCTGGTAAAGTCCATTTTCCTTCTGGATCTTTTTCCCCACTATTTCTAAGTATAACCTTCTCTTGTTCTGTGAAATTTGGGGCTAAATTCTCATAATCCCCCGTTGTTATTACCAATAAAACTACTGATGATAATTCTGTAGCTGCTTCTCTGGCTACTTAATGTGCTAAATTATTCCCCCTTATTTCCATCGATGCTCCCCTCTGATGTCCTTTCACATGCACAACTGCAATTTCTGTAGGGAGCTTCAGGGCTTCTAAAACTTCTCTGATCAGCTGCTCGTGTACTAGCTCCTTCCCTTTTGTATTTATAAGCCCTCTTCCTTCCCATATTTTTCCAAATGTGTGGACCACTCCAAATGCATACTTCGAGTCTGTGTACACTGTCCCTTTCTTATCTCTCAAATATACCAATGTCTGTTTTAGGGCATAGAGTTCACAGGCTTGTGCTGACCACCCAGCAGGTAATTTCCCCTTTTCAAACACTTCCATCTTCTGCCCCTCGATAATTGCATAACCCAATATTCTTTTCCCTTCTAGGCATCGAGAGGACCCATCAATAAATAGTTTTTCCCTATAAGGCAAAGGTTCATCTAACAGATCTTCTCTTATTTTCATTTGATAACTTATAAAATCCAAACACTTATGCTCTGGTTCCTGAATATCCTCCCCGATTCTCCTCCCATAATTCTAGTAATTTAACCACCAGTTTTCCTTCATCCAGCACCACACCTATTCCTAATTGCACTTGTAAATCTCTACCTAGCAAATTACATCCTACCCCTGACATTAACAACAGATCATTAACAGCATACCGATCTTCCCCTTGTATTAACACATTCTTTATAACTGGGACTGAAAACCCTTTGCCTTTGGCCCCTACAGCCCAGGCTGTATCTTTTACATAATCTTCCTCCTGGGGACTTAATTTCAAATTTATCAAGGGCTCTTCTGTTGGTATACCCCCCAGGAGGTAGAGCTCCTGACACCCCTAATGATTACCACCCTCATCCTGTTGGGTTAAATAATTATGTACTGGATGGTAATGCATAATCAGCTGATGTATATGAGCTAGTTTGCTGCTGCTGAGAGCAATTTCCCTGAAATTATGTGTGAGAAGGTACAATTAGAGAGGGGGAAACCAGGGAGAAAGCTCTCTGAAGTCCTCTTGGTATACAGAAGGAGCTTGCTATTTCACCTCCTGTTTAGGTTTTAGTCTAGGAAGGACGTTCAGCTTGTCACTCAACAACTTGTCAGCAATGTGTCTTATGACTAGAGACTTTGCAGTCTTTAAAATTCATGGTGATACTTTGCTGGACGTGTCTGGGAACCGCCTGTTTTTTGGCTCTCAGTATGTTACTTGAAACTTCTCCTTGAATTCCAGTGTCTGCAAGCTGCTTGCTCTTAGGAGGTTGCTCCTGTGATAGGAATTGCTAACGTTCAAAAGAACTGAATGGTGCTCGAGTCACCCTGGCCCTGGAGTGTAACTGCAGTAATTGAAGCGTTTGAACTCCTTAAACAACTGAGAGGGGAAGTCAGGTTTCTTGGAGTGAGTGTGAGTGCTGAACAAGGCAGCTGCTTGTGTTGAGTGCTTAGGGGGGATTTAGAATGACAGTGTATCTCCGGCGATGTTTTCAAGCCCTGCCACTACCCACAGCTTAACTGTCCCTTATATCCAGTGCT